GTACCAACAGTCATTTTGTTATTTTAGTGTGAAGGAGCTCTCAATGGACCCTGAAGCAGTGATGGACATCCGTCAGGGAGGATGTGGTGTCAACCAGCTGGAGGTGCTGGAGGCTCAGTGGGAAGTCGGGAATTCTCCACAGAGAGATGATCTGAAGCTGCTGTGTGAACAGAACGTAAGATGAACAGATACTCCCTCATTCATCATGTACTGTATGTAGGCTTTGTTTACCAACGCAGTTTAAGGACAAGGAACTTGTTTTTCATGTCTCCAAACTATACTCAAATACTCAGACTGAAAACTAAATACTGGACGATATGTTATGTAATGTGGACTTTATCACCAATAACTTACATAAGAATTGCATTCATGGGTTGTGTGTGAATTTTAAGAATGACGTTAAATAGATTTATGTCATATTTTTGAATAAACAAACTGCAGACCGTTATTTCACAGTATCAATGGTGTCCAAACATACCTGGTTGTTCTCTCTGTAGGTGGAAGAGGTTTCCCCGCAGCTCTTCACTTTCCATGAGGCCGTCTCTCAGCTGGTGGAGATGGAAGAGCAGGTTCTGGAGGACCACAGGGCCGTGTTCCAGGTACAGTAAAGCGTTTAGCAACGGAGGCAGCTCAGAAATGTCGAGTGCCTCATTTGAATCATGCAAAGTCCGCAAATCCATCGATCAAAATGTGAATGAACTTGACAGTTACTGTAAGTAATGAATCAATAATGTCAAAATCAATACAGACTAATTTATCAATGTTTTAACCACACTCCAAGTTATTTTGTATCCTTATTTTAATCTTGAGTATTTAACTACATTTTCTAATTTACATTGTTCAAACTTTATTAAGTTATTGCTGCACATTTCCTAAATATTTAGTTTGTCCATGATCATGCACACAGATGTGCTACAGAGACCCAATTTCCAACAAAATACAAGCTCTATGTGTTGATAATATGAGTAAAACTCCCACCCAAGTACCAAACACACACATACAAACAAAGTAAGATTAGAGATCCTTGAAATATCAAACTGTCAGGTTGTGACAGCGATTATCAGCCTACATATTCAAATGTATTTAAACAACATGAGGTGTTAAAACTGCAGCGTGTCCTTACAGGAGTCGATCCGCTGGCTGGAGGATGAGAAGGTGCTTTTGGAAATGACGGAGGAGGTGGACTACGACGTGGAATCATTTGCAACTCAACTTGAACAAATTCTGGATCAGAAGATCGACATCCTCACTGAGCTGAGAGGTAAAAATAATCTGTCATTCCTCAATATTTAGGCCTCTTGGCTATTTCAGCCCCTTTTATGTTACCTGAAGTCAAGTTTACAATGTCTTTCTTGTGTCTCAATAAGCGCAATGCTACATTTAACAAAACACAAGTCTGATATGATAACAGATTAACTTGAAGGTTGCAGCAGCACAATAAAGAGAGTGAAAGAAATGTGTCATGTTGCACCTTCTTAGATCACTTCATCACTCATGCACCAAGAACAGTTTAATAACCCATGACACTCAGTGAAGTGGAGGGAGATTTTGTAATATTTTACAACTGGAGCAGAGGAGAAAAATAAATAAAACCAGTTAAAAAAACTCATGATCAATGTCTCTGCATGGCTGAATATTCAGGAGAAACTCTTAATACAAATGTTGAGTGTTAACAGGAATAGATGTTATGATGATATGATGTACACGTTTTGAAACATGACATTTTCCCTTCTTTTTTTTTAGATAAAGTTAAGTCTTTCCGTTCTGCACTCCAGGAAGAGGAGCAAGCTAGCCAACAGATAACCCCGAAGAGGCCTCATGCACTATAAATACCCACTACAAATGATATTTCACTGTAATACTGACTTGACAAAAGGCAAAGGCCTGCCACTGAGGAGGTCAGTGTTGACTAAAGAGCTCATGTAGCTCAGTTGTGATTTTATGACTTACTGTCTTGTCCCTCCTCAACCCCTTTGCTGTACAGGCTGCCGCTGCTTTCCATCATGCATCCGTCCATCTGTTATACCAAAGAGCAGTCCGTCTTTGCTCTTTCATCCTCCTGTGAAGTGTATTTACAAGGTTTTTGTATATGTAATAAGTCACAAGTGCTTCATTTGAAAACAAAAAAAGGTGAATAATTATTTGTTTTACATACATTTTTTATAGATTCAAATCATAGCTTATCCTCACGTTGGTCAATTTTATAAACAACTTTGCCATTTTGTGCAATATTTGGAGGACTTTATTCCTGTACTTCCCCTTATTTCAGCTCAGGGGTGAACAGGGCATGTCGAGTTTGTGTGTAAAATGAGCCACTGTGTGTTTGTGTTGATACTGTATGTAATATATGTTTGATTGAGAGAAAGCTTAAAACTCAAAAATAACCTTGCATCACATGAATTGACCTAATGGGGGCACTAAAATCAAAGACAAAACTATTGATTTAAGTGTTCCATATAATAATGACTGAAACAGTAATTTTTCATTTGCCAAAATAAAGAAACTACTTCTTGTTGCGGTACTTGTTTTTATTCATTCTGTTGACATCTTACTATAAAATGTTAAGAATATGAAAGAAGGTGAGAGTTTAAGAAACTTCAACATTTCTTTATTCATTTATGGAAACTGATTTAGTGCTTAATGATTACTCACAAAGCACTAAATCAGGATGGATAACTGGATGGATTCCCTAAAATGAAGCTGTTTTTGTTTTTGTAAGTGATCTATACACTTTTTTTAAAGGAATACTTTTGTATTTCAGTTACTCACCCTAACCTTGAATTCTGTGTTTGTTTTTGTTCCTTATTTGAGTAAATTGTCTTAAAACTTCCTCCACCGGTCAACCATAGACAGTAAATGCTATCAGCCTGGAAATTAGGAGTCACAACTTGGGAAAGACTTTGAAAATACTTTTAGACCTATTGTGAGTGTTTAAACTAGGATTAATTATCCTGTAAAGTTTACTTGCCTAGTGTTTTGGCACGCAGTTACTCACCAGGTAGACGCTACGTCGGTTAGCTAGCTAACAACACTAGCAACAAGCAGAAATGTCTCAGTTCAGAGGCTTATTCTTCCACCTTTTCGTCTGCTCTGTCCGTATCAAACTGCCTGACTCCCAGGCCGTCCACTCACAGGCCCGGTCAGGGTGCAGCACACCGCCACACTAACGTGGTGACGCCGGTCTTTCTCTGTGTTTCCTAGACTCACGAAGCTGGTTGATGAGTGTCAGAGGGATCACTTGGTTTGGTTTTTTGTTGGCCCTTCACATGCATGGTTCACTCTTTCTTAAGCTCATTTTGTATTAGTTTGTTTGCTTTTTGTTTGCAAAACTGTGAATTTTAAATTATAAGGACTTTAAGTTACTGTTATTTAGAATATGGTTAGAGTTCCTTATAGAGTGGTGCAGTGACGAGTCCTAAAACCCGGAAGTGAGTTAGCATTTTACCACTACCGGTTCCCTCGTCTCAGTGGGATTTCTCCATAGGATTTTGGAAAATAGCTCGAAATAAGGTCTGTGGAAAACGAACCTGTTTGATAAATGCACGTTTTGTTCAGCCGGATAATATCCACATGTCTACCTTACTTTTATAACTTTCTAATCATAAATCTAATCGCCAGAAGCAAAATGCTAACGTTATGCTAAAGGAACTACAGCCGAGTACAGCAGGGTCGCACGACTTCAACGTCACGCCAACTTAAGATCGATATTCAAACATACAGATTCAAAATTGTACAAGTTGAAGCGTTTGTTTTAACAGTTTGTAAGAGCGCAGGTAGTTGCTCTCAAGCAGAACAGGGGCAAACAAACTCAGCAGGAGTGTTTTACGAGTTTGGCGTAATGACGTACAACGTCCTCGACAACTTCTGTAGTCCTATTCAGCCACTTGTTAACAACCATCGTTTTTCAGACACGTAAACTCTTCAAAAATCACCAGTGGGGTCACTGCTGATGTATTTAATATCATAGAACAAAACGTGATCCGTCTCTTAAATTTGTGTCAACCACAGACCTTATTTCGAGCTATTTTCCAAAATGCTATGGAGAAATCCCATTGACTCTGAGACGAGGGAACCGGTAGTGGTCAAATGCTAACTCACTTCTGGGTTTTAGGACTTGTCACTGCATTCTGTACATAAAGTTGAGTGGTAATTTAAATCTGGGTAGGTTCACAGGCTCCTTCAACAAGTTGTAATATAAGAATAGTTGTATATGTAAAATATAAACAAAATAATTAAATATATATTTTTATAAACTGCATTATACACACATGTGGGGTTAAAGGTAGGGTAGGTAAGAATGGAGAAACCAGCTCGAGTGCGCTAGAATTTGAAAGTACACAACCAAAAAAAAACTGCCCTTTCCTTCAGACTTCCTTACAGAGCTCCTCCTCCAACACACACGAACGCGCACATGACCAATGAGGGCACGAGATAAGTTTGTGCACGAGATGGAAGGCTGACAGGCAGGTAGGCCATCCAGTTATCTGCCACGGGCCGAGGCAGATAATTGGACTTGCTTTTTACAGCGCCACAGCTTCCACAGATGAAATATTTGTATATATTTATTGTCAAAGCATTTAATTTATTCATTGCTATCGGGATGTTAAGAGCATTCCATGGAATATAACAAAAAGTGTTTCTCAAGTGAATTACCTACCCTACCTTTAAACTGTGGGAGTAAAACAGCTAGAGCATGTTGGCATGCTAACACTATTTCCAATAAGTACAGCTGGTAATGTTATTACTTGTAGGTATTTTGGTCATAAACCTAAGTATTAGATAAAAGTATTTTGCTAGAAGAAAAGGGATGGGTAGAAAAACATTTCCAGATATTCATCTCAAAACCACAAATGTTGACCTGCTGGTGGCACAGGGTTAAAATCACCAATGTGTAGAAGTTACCTTACATTTGAAAATATTTCAGTCTGAACTAAGGTAATAAAACCTACGAACAGACTGCAGCTGTATTATGTCAAATAAAATCACACAGACATGTTGAGTTACCGTCCAATTGTAATTTATTCCACAGAACAGACAATGGTAGAGAGAGTCCGGCCCGATCTGCCTGAACAGAACTATGAGACATCAGCACCTACTGTATCCTCTGTCTGAAAACAACATATTGGTGTTCTTAACCAAGGACACACAGAGCTTTTAACAGTGGTTGTTAATGTCATTTATGAAAGGATAACACTTACCAATCATGTAAAAATTGTTTATGGCCATTTGTATACAGTTGCTAACAGAATACAGAGAAATACTGGTAATATTGTCATTTAAAGCCCCCTGTTTAGCATCTATAGGCAGTACAATAAGACTGGACAGAATATAAAACTATAATGTTTGGTAGTGTGATGATCATAAACAAACGTTGATAAAAAGTCAATTTAACCTGACATAACACAAAAGTTGTAATCATGAGTAAATCCTTACACGGTGTCATAAAGCATTTACTCTAGTAAGTATGCAATAACTGTTTACAATCCAATTCTGAACTGTGTACATACTGCTTATAAATGCTAAATAACAGGGTTAAAATAAAGTGAAATACTTTAACATTTGTCAATCTTTAATCTAACATTTTAAACACTGCAAATATCCAAAATATATCTGAATTATTGCCACCATATATTTATGTCACAGACCTAAAGTTCTGTAGTGTGTCACTATTTAATTCAGTTGATTATTTAAAATGTATAACAACCCCAGTGTTGGGATTTATAAATAATTGAGAATAATACAGAATATTGGTACAACGTAACAATAAGGCACCCGGCCGTTACATAGGATTTACAAGTTGTGAGTAATTGCTTTATTAATGGGTGATTAATAAAGATCATATAGGGTGCTTTATTATAAAGTGGTACCACAAAACGTTTAGTAATGAATAAAACTAGTTCTGGACTGTGTGTTTCAAAACTAAGCTGAATATGGTTCTTTAAGCGTTTTATCCAAATGTGGCAATAATTGCAATAATCTCAAATATATTCAGGATAATGGTTTGATATATATTTCATTAGACAGTGAGGACATTGAGGACAACATAACTGGTTTATTATTGTTAAGCATGAAGGTTAAGTAGTTCCAATCTGACTGGATGACATGCAACAGCTTGTTAAATAGAGCTGCTTCGTTTACGGGATTTTTCACTTCTTCATGCACCCACTGCTGACTGAAAAAACAGTCCCCAGTTATATCTCAAAGGTCTTGTAAAATACTCCAGTTTGAAAAATAGGTACAGTAAGTCCTATAAAACGTTCAGTGTTTGCCTGTTGTAAAGAGAGACAGCAGAGGTCAACAGTAGCTCAGATACAAATAGTCTTCACGAGACGTGAAACAACTGCAGGTGTGTGTGTATGATTTCAGACTGTGGATTGCCTGTAGCTTGTATTGTGGTATATTGTGCCCCTGCTGTGATAGCGGTTTTGCCTGGCTGTGATTGGAACAATAATATTGCACTGGTAAAAACTAAAAAAACCTTTCTGTGTTGGTCCTTAGCCTTAATGACCGCCAAAGTGACAAATAAAATGCTACATATTTTCAAATATATTTCACCTGAAATTTCCAGAGTAACATTATGATCTTTAGGTAAATAAATAACTCTCAACCATATAAGTCCTACATATACATCTTTACAGTATGTACACTGACACATCCATGGCTTCTGAACAGCCTCAGAATAAAACGGGCGGACATTCAACAGCAGCCAAACGGCTAAATGGGGTAACGATGTGTCTGTAGCCAAAAAACTGCCACCAACAGCACTAAAAAGATCTGTGACATCTCGCTAAAATCCTTACTGTCCACGATGACAGCAGCATGGTCACCTTTTTCTCTCAATTCAAAGCTAAAAATACATCTTCAGCTTTCCATTAAAGCCACTTTTTTCATCCTCAGACATGGACGACATTAGATTAAGAAGGTGTAGTCACCAAAAATCATGATAATCCAGTCAAGTAGTACAGTAAGTAATGCTCTCAGTACACTTTTCCCCTTCTTACGGAAAGAAAATGTTGGATACAGTCTAAATCAGGGGTTTTCAAACTCTGGGGCGCCTCCCCAGGTCAATTATTGAAGGAAGGTGAGGCAGGTGCAAGACACTGGTGCAAGCAGGAGCTCTAAAACCAAATTATTGTAGTTTCTGATTTGGCAATTCACCAATACTGTTGCATGCAGCTCATGGAGGACATAAAGGTAATTTAAAACAGTTGGCACCTTATTGCCACAAATTCTGCCATCATTTGATGTCCTTCGAAATTGCGAACAAACATATGTTGTTGTTTTGTTTTTTATGGGGCCCCATACTTCCTTTTTTACATCTTGCAAATCATTATGGGAAACCTAGCTCCAAAACTAAGGGCATGCATGATTATTTTCCAAATAGATGTAAGACAAAGGTTAATATTGTTATGAGAGTAGGAGGACGGTGTGTTGGGGGGAGCCACAGTGTCAGAAAACCCCTGGTCTAAATACTTATCCTCTCAAACTGTTTACTGTTTGGCACATATACTTACATTATTTTCATTTTCTGACAAAATATACAGACGTGTGCGTACCTGCACATACAGTATACCCTGAAATGAACAAAGTGTCATGCACTACAGAGTTGTCCAAATGTAGCAACATGAGATGGTAACTACAGTATATTCCCACCGTTAACTAGTGCAAAAAAACAACAATGAGGTTACACAGTTGATTAACTACAGTATTTAGAGAATGGTTTTGGCTTTTGTGTCGGGTTGAAGACATTGCTGATCACACAGAGAGTGGAAACAGACACTCTTGTGTGGAGTGGAAGCTGGGCATAAAACAACAGCATAGTAAAATGACGTGAACAAGAGGTACAACTGTTCCACGCATCAAAAAGCTTTCATGGGTTTAAAGGAGGGGTTCACAGTTTCTCAAGTCTGTCTGAAAACAAAAGTTGGGTTCCCATATGAAAATCCAAAATGGCTGATTGAAGGATCCTTTTTCAATGTGCTTCCAGTATGGAGGACAAAATACACAGTCCCTTCTGGGCAAAAATGCACGACAATGTTTAGTGAGGCTTTAACATAAGCAAAAATGCAAGTTAATATCTTCCAAATGTGTCTACCTAGTAGGAAAGATTTTGATTTTTGATTTAAACGTAAAAAAAAGCATATACCAAAATGTAAAGACCCAATGCCCAAGACTTTACCACGAGAGGAACTCTTCGCTAGTCACAACTCTTCTCAATATTTAAAACATGGTTTGAATTATTATCTTATTATCGATCTACAGTATGTGTTACAGTAAATGTGATTGAAACCACTCCAACGCCTGAATGCCCACTTTGAGTAACTACCATAGATAATTATATCATTTAAAATCACTCACCAAAACCTGGAATTTGTCCAAAATGTTGTTTTGCTCAAATGTCATAGTTAAAAAGTCAATAAATATTCACTTGATACTGACTTTGTTCATACTTCAATATACTTTGAACACATCCTGGCATAGATCGAAGGCTTTCTCTAATGGGATTTTCCCCCATCCCTTAAATTGGAAGAGCAATACAAATCTTTAAATGACCAATATGAACAGGAGCAATGATTAAAGCACCCAACTATTGTTTTAAATCAGACTTTGAAAAAGTGTGAACTTTTCCTTAGAGGAGCGAGGATGGCATCAGCACTGGAAACTATTTTGTGCACAACGTTTGCATTTTGGACTGGAGATGCGAGGACGCTTCTTCTTCTACGTCCCCTTTGTATGAAAATATACAGTTCAGTAGACGGAAGCAGCAACATGATGTTTGCTCTCATGAGGGCAGCGGTGATTTCGATGCAGCCTTTCAACATTCATGCTGAATCACTTCCGGCCCCATTCTTCAGTCAGTTTGGTAAAAATACTGTCAGGTTAACAGGTCTCTGTGAGTGAAAGCTACGTGGAAACACTGCCTCCATCCCTCCAAGAGTCACGCCTGAAATGAATCAGGCTCCTCAGCAGAAACACCATGTCCATCCTCCATCCATCCAAACGAGCAGGAAGCCGGGGGAACAACACACAAGTGTTTCCCAGCAGCAGCACATGTGGGGAACAGAACGCCACCAACAGGCGGGTCAGAGGTATTGCAAGCCGATGAATATATAAAGGGATTGTTGCTGTTGACTGTACAGAGTCTCTGTTGTTGCTTTAATGCTGCATGCCCTGTTTGTCTGCTCTCTGTTCCATCTGTGGAGCAAGTGTGTTGTTGGATATTAAGGCCTTGGATGGCCCAGAGGCCACACTGAAAGAGAAAATACTACAGAGTCTCCCACACACACACATAAACACACAGGGGAATGAAACTAGCATTATGTATTGTGTCGAGATAAAAAGTACTTTCACCTCTGATATATACTGTATATTTCAAATCCAGCCCTCAGGTGTTTAAAGGATCAGTTCACCTAAACTACCAAAGAAAACATTATTTCTCACTTCTCTATGATAGCATATATTTACGCAGACAGTCATGGTTTAATAGTTTCTGTCTCCACCTCACTGCAATTGTGGTCCTTGCAGCATTGGAAACTAGCATTTAAATAAGACTATGATTCTGCAGCCATGCTAGGTGCTAATGAGGCTGCACATGAGCTAAATGCACGGTTCCCAGATGTTCTTGAACATTAAGTTCAAGGACTTGTTTCGAGGCCCAATTGCTTAAAATATAAGGACCCAACACGGCACAGTTTGAGTCACAGATAAAGATGAATTATCATCTCACTTTCTTGAATCAGTGAGGCAACAGCGGGAGACACAAATGCAGACAGAAGCGTGTGAACGATTCAAATTGAGCCCAAAAGTACCTGCATGGTAGAGAAAAGTGAGAAACTATTTCCTTTATGTAATTAGGATGAGCTGACTGTATTCTGTACTGATTGCCAGTCATTCCTGGGTAGAGGGATGTGATTGAAACATGTTGTTGCTCAGCTGACATTGGGACAGAAACAGTAGTGAAAGTCATCAACTCTTTGTCATGGCTGCCAGTCAACTTGGCCTCAAACCCGTGCTCGATTGTTTGAAGATGAATCTGGCTCTGCAGTGTGTCCTGAGCTCATGAGAGTGTGAATGCTTGGACAGTGTGCTGTGTGTGTGTGTGTGTGTGTGTGTGTGTGTGTGTGTGTGTGTGTGTGTGTGTGTGTGTGTGTGTGTGTGTGTGTGTGTGTGTGTGTATGGAGGTGGGGTCCCGTTATACGAGATTAGTTTAAGGCTTACAATATTTCATTTAATCCTTCCTTGTCACCGTTTTCTATAGTTTATAATGTATCCTATAAAAGTATTACTGTAAAAGAGTCATGCTACAGAATTGTCTTTTGTTCGCTGGATCCCATTTGGCCTGATTAGTCCTCTCCTCCTGGACAGATCCTTCTCTATCACTGATGATCAAGTGTTTTCATGCTATAACAACCAATTCCTTTATTTCCTAAAATTCAAACCCTCCTTCCACCTTTTCTTCTTCCACTCTTCTCTCTGGGTCCAATCCAGAGATCATGTTGACTCAGGCAGCGTCCTCTACCACCACAGCTCCAATCTGAACCTTATTTAGGGCCGAGTAACCCTCCACTGCCCTCCTTGCCGCTCCCGGTGCGACCCCAGCACCCTGCAGCAATACTCATACTCCTCTGGGTCGCTGGCCCGGTCGTTCGCTCCCGCTCCATCTCACACTGGCTGAGGGTTCGCTCCGTCCGCCCCGTCGGGTTGGGAGAGGCCGACCCCGCCCCCGCAGACTTCTTTGTGGAGACGGTGCGGAAGATGTGATTGCGCTTGCGAAGGAAGTCTCCTCCGGCTGCCCCCAGCCCAAAGCTGCCCTTGCGGAGGACCATGCGGGTGCTGGCCGACTTGGCCGGGCGGGACCTCTGGTTGTACTCCAGCTGGGACAGGTGGGAAGCGTAGCCATCTGGAATGAACTGGAAGAGAGGTAAAGTAAATCAGATACATGTATTGACAACCAAAATCCAAACAGTGCGTGATATTAAACACACACAAGTTAAAAGAAATTGGAGAGCAGAGAATTCTACCAAGGCTAAATGTACTACATCGCATTACAGAAATACAAAGTAATTTGTGTATCTGCCCTGTGATGATGAAAGAAACATCCCCTCCATTGTGCAAGGAATACAAATTAAAACTTTGTTATAGTATTGAAAACAGTAGAATGATGCCAATTTTTACATTTACTCAAGTAAAATTGAGAGGCACTTGTCATTCATTCATTTGATTTATGCTACTTACTACATCTACTCAACTCAGATGTACTTGACAGCTAAAATAACTAAATAGTTAAAGAATTATAAGTGCTTTTACACAGTTTTACTGGTACTTTATTTAACCAACACATTTGAATTCTTCTTCTTTTAACAGTGTTTTTATTATTAGAGTTTTAAAAGTAGGTGAGACCAACAAAGCAGACTGTTAAAATGATTATGATGAATTTACTTGTATACTCGTGGCAATCGTTAAACTACTTCTGTGTTTACACTGTTTGTTAACCGTAGATCTTCTGCCTTTGCTATCAGGATTTACTCCGTACCTGACACTGCTGCAGCATCTTCTTGGTGGGCCTTCCCACAATGTAGATATGTGAGGAAGGCAGGCCAAGAGACGAGTACAGAGAGATGTCCTTGGTGGAGCCGTAGGCAGCAAAGATCCTCATGTTGGCCTAATCAAAGAGGGAGGTCAGCTTTGGGAGAATTCAAGGATTTTAACAGAACACATTCCCTAAAGTCAAAGGGACCTGCCTTACCTCGTTGATGAGACATTTTAGGAAGTTGGCCTTGTGCCGGAGCGGGTCGTGCACCAGCCCGTCGCAGAAGGAGACGATGCCGTGAGGGAAGTTATGCTGAGAGAGCCAGGCCACCACGCGCTGCTTCTGCATGTCCGGACGACCCGTTACATATACTATCAAGTAGCCCAAGTCCTGCCAGTATCTGCAAAAACAAATACATTTAAAGGAGCACAGCATTAATTCAGGAAAAGCAGAGTTCGGGATCACCTTTAAGGCCAGAGGGAAATATCTGGCATTAGCAGCCAAATGCTCCATTATGGACTTACTTTATTTATATTATTATTAATAATAATAATAATAATAATAATAATAATACATTTTATTTATTTGAATACAAATTAATTTAAATACATTTAAAAACATTACATTTATTTTATTCTCTTCTACTTTTTTTTTTAAAGACTTTTTGTAAAACGGTAGTTTCTTTTAATTTCATGTGGCATCTGCCAGATATTTGGCAAGAAACTGATATAAAAACTAAACTATATGTATTGTCAAATATATTGCCATATAGTGCAATATTTAAGTAATATGTGCCTCTGTATTTACTCCGAAACAAAAACAAACATAACTAAGTAGCTTAGTTTGAGTGGGCTACAGCTTTTTACAGTTGATGGATCAGGGTGGATTTATTATAATAAATCCACCCTGATAAGCTTTGTGTATATATTACTATAAAATAAACGGTTATGATGATCCTTACCTCACCACATCCACAGCTCCAGCTCGGACTTTTGGATCGCTGCCCATTATAGACACGCTGGCAGCGAATGAGCCGTCAATACTGAAAACAACAAACTCTGTTCCTCGTGGTACCACAGAAATATAGCTGTCTGCAACTGTGTGGTCTCCCCTGAGAGAGAAAGATGGAAGATATTTTAAAGGGAGGAGATGTACAAGGAATTTAGTTTTCAATTGAAATACCAATGACTCAGCACACCTTACGACCATCTTGACAGGATAAACCCCGATACCCAGCTTCTTGCCCTCAGGGATCACATAAGAGACGCGTCCGCTGCTGTTGGTGAGCTCCGTGTTGAAGTACACCCACTCTCCAGAGGGAGGCTGGGTCATGATGTGGATGTCAATCTGCAGGAAACAACACAAATATATTTACAACACTGTGTGTGACCCTTAATAACACTGAGAGTTTGTTTGTCTTTCATCAGTACCTTCTCTCCAGTGAGGGTGACCATGTCCAGGGGGCCGTACATAAAACGTCCCATCACCATCTGGGCTCCATCCTCCACGAACACGGCGTCGTTCACTCGGTGGTTTGCTGTCACGTTCTGACATAGAAGAGCACGAAACAGGAATCAGAAATACTGTCCAACTCATTTTATTTAACTAAAGATGTCATATTTTTGTGATAAAAGGGTTAATTAAGATCAGCAATTAAGGTTTCTCACCTTAACTCTTGTTAAATGGGGCTGTACTATGCTAATAACCAAGTAAAGTCCTACTATACGTATGTCAATATTGCAAATCAGCATTTACATGAATGTCCTGTTTACATTGTATTAAGCTGATGCAGCAGCTTGTCTCCTAATAAAACAAATAATTGATAAAAATGTAACGGTAAAGTGTGTTTAAGGTGGAGTCTGACTAAACCAGAATAAGTTATAAAATACAATATTACAATCACATTTCAAATGTTTTTCTAGGAAATGCACTTAAAAAGGAAAAGAGATCTTACCCGAATTTTAACATGAGTCCTCTTGCGGAGCCACTTCTCCCGAGGTTTGGATGGAGTGAATTCAGACACTTCTTTACCATCCAGCTCCAAAATACTGGAGTTCTCATGTCTCATCACCTGGGGGAGATCATACATTTTTGTTATAAAAAGCCAGCAAAGAACATTTTAAGTATAACCTTGTTTCATAACCTGTAGTAAATATTTAGATTTACAGTCATCCTGATCTTCATAAAGAAGAAGCCATAAAGAAGCAATTTTTTTGTATAAGTTTTTGAAATATCTTGGTGCTTAAGTAGGCACTTTTTTCTGCTTGCTTAGCAACTTCATCTGAATATTCTGTTTCATCAGTGCAATGAATAAATACATAATCTTTAAAATGGATGTAGCATCAAGTACACTTTGCTTCATTTCACTTAAGAAGATTTATGGTTTTGGCCTTTTCACTCCGCTCTAGATTTTAGCATCAGCTTAATTTTCAGTTTGAAGACAAGGATGGGAGAACTGTGACACTTAAAATCTATTAAAAAACCATAACAATATGTAGAAAAAAGGTTCAGGATATCAAAATGATTACGCTTCACATAGGGGAACAAGAGGGCTTTAACCAAATGTCATCGCATTGAATATTTATCAAGAGATTTCACTATAAAGCAAAAGTGTCAACCTGCTGATGCTTTTACACCAAACACCAGTAGGATTCCTCCTCTGGAAATAATTCATATCTTTATTCAATTTCATTTCAAACCATGTAAAAGTTGTTGATTGTTGTTGACCTTTGACTTTAACTACATTTACAGATACAATGACATACATTCTGATTAACAGAGAGAGAGAACAAACCTGTCTGAGTAAGAAGGAGACGACGTCTGTGGACTCCCAGTAGGAGGCGTGGAAGAGATGAGGCAGAGCGACCGTGGGGAACGCAGTCAGAGCGTCAGGGCAGTACAGAGCGTAGTCCATCCTCTTACTGCCCCACCAGCGAGAAGCAACTAGAGCAGGAAAGAATAACAGAGGGAGGTTAGTCATCTGTGCCTCCAGTTTCTCATCTCTGTTAGGGTTTTTCCAACGCAGATCTACAGCCTACATTCATTCAGAGGTAAGTTCTTTAGGGTTATCATAAACTGGAAAAAGTTAAAACGGTGTTAAAAGGGAAAGTTGTAAATCATTGTATATCAATTACTTTATATGGGAGTGTATTGAATAGCAAGGTTTTAGGAAAAGTGCATGTGTTTTGTGTGTGAGAGTTGACTGGATAAAAAAGGCTTGGACTATACTGCACAAGTTGTGTGGGGGTTTAAAACGAATATTTTGATATAGTTTTGCTGTTGTTCATTGTGGCCCCCTTTTACTTCAATTCATCAAGACTTTTCTCAGTTCTCAACAAAATGGAGGCATGCAAGAAAAGTGCAGGCATGTTTTCCTCACAAATTCAAGGTAAGTAATTGATATACAAATCTACATTTTGTGGGTGAAGTATTCCTTTAAAGGGAACCAAAACTAAAGTCCAAACAGTTCATCAAAATGCAGAGTGAAGGGTTGTGAAAAGGTTCGGAAATGCACACTTGCAGGGAAAAAACAGCTCAGACTTTGTGAGAACCTGGTCAGTTAATTTCTGGTGGTCTTGCAAAAGAAAAACACGGAGGTGGTTCTCATAAACCTGAGCGTAAGAGGAGATTGCAGGATTTGTTTTTGGAATCAGGAGTACTGAGAAGGACTATCCCAGAGAGGAAGATTTCAGAGGAGAAGGGAAAGTGCACAGGGAACAAGGATGGAGTCTAGCATCCTTCCTTCTTGTCCTTTCACTACAGCTCCCAGGGTACCTTTCCCAATGTTCTTCAGCAACCCGGGGGACGGGGGGGCCGAGCTGATGTCCACGATGTCAGACGCGACATCGTTGAAGTCAAAGCTAACCTCCGAGCTCTGCTCAGACTCCACACCGTTGGGTTTTGGGAGCATCTGACGGCTTTTCCTTTGAGACCGCATGGATGCTCTTCGAGAGGCAAACTTATTGTAGGGGAGCACCAGCTGGGACAGCAGGCTGGGCTTTTTTTCAGTTTTGTGGGCTGAGCGGGCGTTAGGAAGGAGGAAACGAGAACATGTAAACTGTCAGCTCGTAGGCCAAAACGTGGGTCACACACTGGAGGTGAGAGCGCGACTTACTGGTGGCGATGTTGGAGGCGGTGTACGAGTCGGCTAGGCCCGACACCTGGCTGGCGATGCTGGCACTGCTGGACCTGCGGGTGCAGCGCAGGTGAGGGACGCCCGGGGACGTGGGGATGGGGCCGTCAACGAAAATATGTGACTGAAGAGAGTCAGCTGCAGAGACAGAAGAAAGGGTTTAAGTCATATTCTCTACTGCAGAAAGAATTCCAGTGAAAATCAAGGTAATTATGATTTTATTTTATTTCTGTAGCTTTGGCATACTTTCTGTTGGCTATGATAACACTGCGGGATCAGTTTGCAAACAAACATCTCCCGTGTACAAGAACAGAGTCCAAACAAACACAATTTCTGCGTATTAATCATTATCTTTATCATAAAGCTAAACACGAGTCCATCGCTGACGAGCAGCCTTCCTGATGTAATGAAGCAGAACTTTTACGAGAGCAGAGCTGCGTGTCAGCAAATAATTGTTGTGATCTGGGAACACGACGCTACAACGATGTCTGATGAAACACCAGCGGTCAAAAAGTCTGACAGTTTGTAAAGAAGTTTATATGGAGATCAAAATCTAAAGTGAGTAATAATAATCTGAACGCAGAACATTGTGTTTGCACAGAAGCACTTTAGGTTATCAAATCGTTGTTACAACTATAAAATGAAGACTCAGGTTGTTATAATCTAGATTTTCCCTTGTTATCCCTAGAATAAGTAACATGAGGGATAAAAAGATGAAAAGAGCAACATAAATGATTGCTAAATGGAAACATACTGTCTGTGTGGAGCTGCCAGTTTAGGACGGGCACTGGGATGGACGTCTCATTGACGGTGAAGTCCTGGTGGCGGTGAGAAACTGCACCAACAGACTCCATCAGAAGCTGAGGATTACTCTGCATCGTCTCAACTAGGGAGCAAGTAAAAGGGAAGAAGATTAAAAGACTTATCTACATTTCGTATAGTAAAAGTATGTCATGTATGTTTGACTCACCCAATAGAGCCGAGTGCCCATCGCCCAGAGGGAAGCGCTGGTATCGAGGGACACTGAAGGGAGGCAGCAGGTGGAACCGTTTGTCCAGGAGAGGCTCGAGGCGCGAGGCCGAGGGGTCGGCGGGGTGAAACAGGTTGTACACCTGCTGACAGGCCGGACGCAGAGCCGACACTGAGGGGGAGAGAGGTCAAGAGATTTAAAAAACTGCAACATGATACCGGAAACTAAGATTTCAAAAGCCAAATAACCCAGTTTTATTCATCTCTGGTTGAAAGTTTCATGTCTGTAACCAAACCTTTGTGCAGTTCTACACCACTGCAGACAGGTGAGAAATAAAACCACTGCTCAACAGCACCCAAACGTTCAGGCTGCTGTAGAGTTTGTATTTAAATGACATTTAGTTTGACATTCAGACTGGTTAAAATAAAGTCACTTGCTTTTTTCTTGATTGTTAGATATGATGATTGTAAACCACTCTCTAATGTATGAACGGTTAAATATTATGACTTGTCTGTGACTTCTTATGCCAAACAAACTATTTATTGTAAGAAAAGCTTGTCATTTCAGCCCACACATTTTGAGTCTTAAAAAAAACATAATTTCAGTTGTTTTGCTTTCTACAGTATTGTTTTGATAATTTGTTTGTTAATTGATCGTCATGGTGTGGTTTATTATAGACCAAAATAAACCTTAATTAATCAAATCTGTGAGACAGGTAAAATAATAAAAAGAGGAAAAAAAACAGGCCATCCCGACACCGTCTCTACAGCTACTGGAGACGAGAATCCCACAAGGGAAAATACAGCAGAAGCTATCTAGCAAAACTATTTAAAATTACAGTAAGTTATGCGCAATATCAAAATAAGCAAAACCTTCCTCACCATCTAAAGAGGGCACCACCGTCTTCCTCAGAGCGAGCACCAGCCCCAGAGGAGAGCCGAACATGAAGAAGTCAGTCACCTCGAAGTCAAACTTCCCCAAACTGCCTCCTTCCAGCATGGTGCTGCTGCTGGAGCGCCGAGACCCGGGCTCCCCGAGGAGCACGCTGGAGTGGAGACTGGAAACATTCATACAATCACAGGTAATGTCGTTAATGAAACTTTAATGGCAAATTAAAATTGAAGATGAATTATTTTCATTAATAAAAAGAGGGGGTGTACAACTAAAAACTAAATACGAAAGGAAACAGATATGAAAGGAAAAAGTGATTGTTTTAATGCTAAGTTTCATACAATGATCTTCATGTATCTATCCAAAAAAGGTAAACTAATGTAACAATATTGAGAGCTGAACCCTCTAAATGCATTGAATAGATACAAATAAATAAAGGTCGACAAAAATGGCTTTAGTTTTTGTTGATTAACACTAACAAATTACTAAACTCTGTAAACATTCGGCGACATTTACAGAATACTTTAAGCCTATTCCTGTGTCTCACCTGGACAGGAAGGCCTGGTGGTGTTTGATGGTGTCCAGCTCGTAGGTGGACGAGTCGCTGCGTTTGCGTGGAAGTTGTCTCTTGGGGTCGTCGGGCCCTGAGCAGCGGGGGATGTCGATGTTGCTGCGGCTGAGATGGCGGCTTCCTTCGAGGGTCGGCGAGGAGGAAGGAGAGCCGCTGTTGATGATGATACCCGGAGAGAGGAGGTCTGTGTCCTGAGAGACAGAGAGGACAAGGAGAACATCGTCAAGCTGAACGGGATTAAAACATTTCTACATTTTCAGCCAGACTAGTAGCATGGCATTAGGGGTGAGACGCTGATTAGCCCAAACTGAAATATTACAACTATTGATTGGTTTGCTGGTTTTTAGAACGCTGATGTTATACGTTAGTACTGAAAGCCTCATTAAGATGCTAAAGTGTGCATGTTAGCCCTGTATATGTCAGAGAGTAGTTAGGTGTTACCTGTACACTGATGGCGCTGCCCCGCCTGCTGCTGTTCTGGCTTTCTGACACCATCACCGAGCTGCTGCACAGAGCGTCAAACCCCAGGATGCCTCCAACACAATCACCAATAACACACACCTGTAATACAATACAAAGCACAAAAACATGAATGCACATTAATCACCAAACCACTGAGGAAAAATATGAACCTTCCAAGTAGGGGTGTCACAATGTATCGGACAATTTAATTATCAACCCTGAAATGAAGAACATCAAAAGTCGATATCATGTTAAGAGAATAAAAAATATGATGAAATATTGTGTAGATAATGAATCACCTATTAAATCATTTCCATTTCTTTCAGTTTCGTTTTTGTCTTCCTCCAAAAATGTGCTGACTCACCTCCCCCACCCTCACAATTTGAGTATAATTAACTTAAAAACAAAAAACAATGAATTTCACTGATAGCATTATTTTATATATATTCTTTAAATAATCCAGTGCCTCTTAAATCATTTCTGTATCTTTCTGTTGTCGCTTTGTCTTTCTCTGCACTCTTAATTTGAGTGCAATTCATTTTCAAAATGAGAGACACACCCAGAATAAGTCAAAGATGAATTTGACTGATAGCATTATTTATTTACTTTGATAATATTGTGCGAATATTCCAGCGCCTCTTAAATAGTTTCCATTTGTCTATGTTCTTGCTTTTTTTGTTCTCTCCACAAATGTCCTCATAATTCCATGTAATTAGTCAAAAAGTGAACCAATAAGCACAATTAAAAAAGTTAAATATGGATTTGACTGAAAGCATTATCTATTTTTTTTTAAATTTAAATGTACTACAAATATCCCAATTATATGGCTGTTGTAAATTATTTGGACCTCAAAGACATTTTGGCCACAATAATCATATGGTGAAAGTATGATATTGTGTCCGCCCTGCCTGGTTACACACTCACCTGGCCGTTGAAAGACGATCCCTCCACAGACTTGAGGAAGTCGTTGTACACCTGATTGGCTCGTAAGATGACGGTGGCCACGGCTTCTTGGTACTGCGGTGCGGCGGTGGCTAAGAGGGGCAGCGCGGCCAGAGGGATGTGGTCCTGACTGCTGGACAGGCAGCCTTCGTCGTAGCTGTAGGGGCTGAGGCTGCGGAGAGGAGGACGCGTTGTTATCCGTCTGTGTTTAACATTCACTCAGCAGGTTGTATTACAGCAGATGAATTAAACACTCAAGAGGGCTCTCACTTGGAGACGAGTGCGAATGCGTCCACACACACAGCAGGACAGGGGACCATCCGGATGGCGATGCGTCCCAGCACTGCGGGGTAGTGGACCCTCATCACCGTCTCAAAGGCCCCGCCCAGCGTGTTTATATCCGCCTGCTTGCCGCTCTGCTCACCTGCAGACAAGAAGAACATGTTGCATTGGTCAAAAAGCTGCAAGAACATTTCCCTTTTACACTTTGTTTCAGAAGTTTGAATTATTTTTGCAGCAGAATTGTCTTCTTTATATCCTGTCTTTTGTTTGGACATCCTCAGATTAAATATTGAGAGAACTTGTAAACTACTGCACCAGTTTAAGGCTGTAATGAGGTGATTTCCTCCTGAATGGATCAATAATTATTACCTCTGCCAATGAGGTTATGGTTTCAGTTTGTTTATCGGTATTTAGCGAGATTACAAAACAACTTCTAGCCTGATTTGAATGAAAATGGAAAGAAAAATGGTGTTAGCAAGGGCCAACAAACTATTATCCATTTGGTAAACACTGCCAAATAGAGCATTTGGCCTTGTGGGAGTTCTGTGTTCTCCGTGGGCTCTTCTGGTTGATACTGATAACATTTGTGATTAAAACAATGAGCAACATTGGAATTATTTGGAGTTGTTGTTGTTGTGTTTGTTGTTGTTGTTGTGTTCACCTGAGGATTAAATGTTCCTCTGATTTTGGCTCTTCCTTTTTTCTCTTTACTCACTCCTTAGTGCTATATTTGTCTCTTTACCTATTGTGTACTTTTCTGCATTTTGCAGTTGGTGTCATGTTTTAGAGGTTTTTTTCTCTGAAAATTGCTGCCAGAAATGACACCATACCGTAGCACTGTGAGAGTGATCTAAGCAGTGAATTTGAGGCCCCAAAACCAAAGCAATAAGCTGAGAGAAGCTAAAACGAGACAGAGAGATTGTTGCCATCATTTTTTGAGGGTTTTCAACCTTACAAAAAATATTGATTGAAGCCACGATATTAACTTTTTAGGGTTAGAAGTTCAAATTGATTTAAGCTAGTGCAAGTTTCATTAAAATGTTGCAGGGTTTGATTGCAGGTGTACCAGAGCCAGTGTCCAGAATGTTTCCTCCATGCAGGACCAGAACGAGGACGTGAGTTTTGGACGTCTGGAGACACTGCTGAGATGAACAGTCCTGCAGGTAAGAGGAGAGGAAAGGAGGCAGGAAACAGGATTAATACTGTAGGGAGAAAGGAGCAGGCAGATAACAGGAAAAACGGGAAAAGGATAGAAGAGCAACATGCAGGGACAAAACTAATGCTAAACGAGTTAGTTGATTAATAAATACATCTATTGAAAACTGCATTTAATCAATTAAAATGATTGTAAACGGAATTTGTTTGTGTTTTGGACTGTTTCTCAGACCAAATCAATCAATCTGAAGCCTGAAGAGTGCTTTGTATACAGACGGTATTATCCACTAGAAACTAAGCATCAGTTGAGCTGCTGAAGATTGTTTGATAAGATTGAAATCTCAATAGCAATTAATGGACTTTGTGGTGAGATGATTGCCTTGAATGTTACAAAAAAACAAAGTTTAAAAGCAACAATTAGACAATTGACAGGGGTCATGTGACTTCTTGGTCACTACCAGTAACTTAATGTAGCCAAGAAATAGTCAGTACTATATTCTACACTAAATGCAATCAATATGAATGCTCTCAGGCGTCCTTAAAGTGCTTCTACTCCTAAGACATCTAATGTCTAGTTCTACTTTCTTCAATGCTCTACTGGCTACAGGACTGACACTTACATTTCTTTTTCTGTTGGATTTATGTCTTTGTCTTTTTGAGGCACGGTGCTGAATACAAAGAGCAAGAACACATAGCATTTATAGCATCGTGAAAGTGTTAGGGCCATGTTTCTACTGTACAGTCTGACGGCTGAGGTGGAGAGGGGGTCCTGGTTTTACTACACTGGCCAGATGACTGGAAGCTATTTCAGGAGGAGGGGTGTAAGCTAAACGCTATTTAATTGAAGATGTTAGTGTGTTAGGATGACATGAATGAAATACAAAAAGAGTGAAGGAAGTGTACCTCCATCTGCCTCTCCTCATTACTCATCACAGCATACTCCCCACCCGACTCCTGATACATAGTTTCTGTAAAAACACAAATTCATTCAGGAAAAATAAGTTTATATTATACACAAAGATCACATTAAAACTGTAACTGTAATGGACAATATCTCACTGCAGGATCTCATGTGACCAAAACTGTTAAAAAATAATATGAGTCTTTGTTTTTATTTAAATGAGTTTAGCACCTTGTGCTTCATCCATCTCGTTTGTTCCTATCTTGTCCATCAGATCGTTGGAGCTCCACTTGGTGATCTCTTTGGCAAACATCTCCTCGTTGTCAGAAAAGTCCTCTGCAAAATACACAGAGGGCCTCTGATATAAATAATCTATCTCTGCACGTCAGAGCAATAATATCTAATAACACAGACCCAAATAAATGTTAATCCCATGATTTAAACGTGTAAAGCCATATTTATTCCTTTATTGTTGGTGTTTTTAAATTAGCTTAATAGATAGAATTACTTGATTATCTTTCTGTCAGCCATTTTGAAGGGCAAGACCATTTGTTGTAGGTTACATTTATTGAATCTAATACAGTATAACAACGTAATGTTCTTCTTTTAGAGGTCCGGAACATAAAATGCATTAATTTAAGAAAAGAAAATCACCTGAACTTCATGGCAAAATAACAACTTCAACAAACAAAAAAGGATTTAGAATGAAACATTGAGATTACCTTGATATATTATATGAATCATCCCAAAGAGAGATATGATAAGAGCGAATTATCTAATCCAATGTGTTCATGTTGTAAATCCAGTACAAGACAAAAGGCAGTACCAAAATAGTCATGTTTCATAACACATAACACATATAGTGCATGTTTAAAATACAAATAAAGCCGGTGTTGTATTATTTATCATGAAGAAAGAGAAGATGTTTTACCGTGAGCATCGAAGAACTCGTCGTCTGTGCTGTCATCTGAGTCTCGGGCGATGCTCTGCATCCTCCACTCTGAAATGTTCTGGTGAGACGGACTCCCTGTACAAACATATTAAACAAAACAGGAAGTAGTGATGTTAAAGCTGGGAGTAGTAAGGTTGTATAATGCACTTATCCAAAGTCAGTGTATTAATAACAGTGGTTGGCATGTCCTCAGTTTGGAGAAAAAGTATGGGCATTATAGTGCAGTGGACGGGGGTGGAGGAAAATGTATTGTAGCCACATAGAAAATAATCAATATCAGTTTAAGTGTACGCTATGTTTGGAATATTTCCACTGCTTTACCTTTTCTGTTATCACAGCTCTCTAAAAAGCACACATAGACTCCATTGATTGGAGATGTGCTAACTCTTTATCTACTGCAGGTAATACACTGCATTTGGAGAATACCTCATACAGCTCAACTCCACTTCAAAACATCTGAACAATGCCTTTTATCTTCAGAGAAACAACAAGATATTTGCTCAAATAAATATAAAATAAATGATCAATCAATCAAATTTCATTTACATAGCCTTACAGTATATCGCAATTACAAATTTGTCTCAGGGGGCTTTACAGTGTTAACAGCATACAACATCATCTGTCCTTAGAGCCCCCCAGCATACAAGAAAAAACCACCAAGGAACCACCAAGGAACCCCCACAATTAAGCGGAAGGGTCTATCTCCCAGGACGGACATACACGCAATAAATGTCGTGTTTATAGATAAAAAAAGAGAATGATACTTTTCTGAAATAAAAGTACAACATGGATAATCCAAATGCATGTGAACGTATATACAAAAAATGTGTCCAGTAGTAATATTCTAGGGGCCACCAACAAATATTGATATAAATAAATGAGGTAAATAGTAATCCTCACCGCCTCTCTTGGACGACCTGTTGGAGGACTTGGAGGAGGTGGACCACTGCTTGGTGAGCTCCCCTCGTGTCTCCAGGGAGTCTCCCAGCTTCCCCCCCTCTCCCTCTGCAGCCGAGCCCCCGGCCTGAGCCCCCTGCTCCTGGTCCTGGCTGACGGACGTCTCCGCCCCCCCCTCCTCAGTCAGGCTGAACTGGGCCATCTTCTTGGCTAAAGCCAGCTGCGTCTCCAGCTCCAGCAGCCGGATGTCGTCGATGGTGAGGCCGTACCACTCGTCCTGCCAGCACCACGCCTGTCTGTGGGCGCGCACCATCACCTTACGCAGGCCTGGAGGACAGCAGCGAGGATTTATTGGCATTTTAGAGAGGAAAGAAGCATGTTTCTGGGATATATATTCTGGGTCAATTTAAGTGGATTAACCTTAAAATAAATACTTTATTTGGTTCACTCTAAAATTGTATGTACGATGTATATTTTGTAAATTGTGTCATTTTTATAATTTGTTTATATAATGTATTTTATTCATGCTTCTTAGGTAACATTAAGCTGTGTTTGGCTCTTTTCTGCTGTTACAATGTAAATGTCCCCGCTGTGGGACTAATAAAGGTATTCTGATTCTGCCACAGAGTCACTGTTCAAACAAAGGTGTAGGTTTGGTTTAAAATATGAGGAGGGGCTGTTCAATCATTAACAAATTAAATCATATTAAAAAAGGCAATGCAATTTAGCAAATAGCGCATTATAATGCTTAAGGAATTCAAAAAGTGGCCTGACAGTCTGTATTTATTGCAATAAGACTGGTTTCTTTGATAGAAAACTGAGATACTGACAACTCATACCAGAAACTGCAAGGAAATAAAAAATAGATTAAATAAATACATCATACAAAAAGTTTAAGACTCAAATACAGTATTCAGTAATAATACAAATCTATTATTTAAGTTTTGCAACTATTTTATTAGAAATTCTGACAATATTATACTGTGTAATATATGATATCAAGTATTTTCCAAAATTAAGTTAAATTATTCATAACTCTAGTGGAGCAATCTGATTTATTTTGTTCCTGTTTCGAACACTTATGGATCGAATATGAAAATGTAATCTTGAACAATGTATTTTTCTTGAGGACCTAAACAAGCATAAGCTGGTTATAAATCCTGACCCCTCTGAGCAAATCATGATTAAAACATCAAACCTGGTAATAAAAGCCAAAGTTAGCAAACAGAGAAAGCTATTAAATTAATATCCAGTGGAAAAAACCACTGACAGATTAATAAAGCTTGAACGGTCCAGCATTATACAACCCAAAGCCCCTTCCGGCATCATTTATAATGAAGAGGCTGTGTTCGAGCAGGTTTAATGCAAATGAGATACAGTGAATATCAGAAGCTGCAGGTGATATTAGCATAAAAACAAAGGGAAAGTCCTTTATAAAAGCACTCATGTTAAAGTGGAAGTGGATGCAGCATGGACAGAAAAAACAAACAGATCTTGTGGTTTAGGGTCTTTTGATTAGGCCTCAGAGTGAGAATGCCATGAAGACAGAGCAGCTGCTGTGTAATTAGCCTGGGAGTGAGCGCGTGAGGGAGTGAGCTGCCCGAGTGTAAACAGTCTTAAATCACAGCGGCGAAACAGAAACGACGGTGGCAGGAAATTAATCCAGTCTGCTGTGTTATCTCAGGGAGCCAGACTCCGCGCTGCTGCCTCTCAAACACTTTCTATAAAGGGATCTATTTGTTTTACCTGCCCGCTCACTATCCCTCACACTCACCTTGTTCCTTTCTTCTTCAGTCACTCAACATAATAGACAGTTTAATGAATCAGTGGTTAATCATTAAAGAAAGAAGGTCTTTTCTTTTCCTTTAGTGACTCACTGTGTCTTATACAAGAATCCTGTCTCTAATCCTGAATATTTCTGTGTCTTTTGGTTATTGTTGATATTTTGGATTATTCAAATACTTTCAAGGTAATCATGTTCAGGGTTATCCTGACTTTATCAGCATCACCCCTGACTCTTTAGGATTCATTCCCAACTTTTGTATACTTTTTTCCTGATTCGTCATGGTTATCTATTACTTTTTAAAGTTTTAAATCTCACATTTTCAAGGATTTTGTATTTTGTGTTGGACATTTTGGGTGCAAATTAATGGCACAAACTAACGTAACGCCTACACGGTTCCGTTGCGTGCTTCAACGGAGACGCTTCCCATTCACTTTTAATTGGGTGACGTCAAGCTTTGCCGAACTGCATTGTGGTTTCCGTTGCGTCGCTTTGCCTCCGTTGCTCGCTTCGAAAGTTGAGAAAAGTTCAACTTTCCAAGCGTCAACGGAAGCGCCAGCCAACCAAATCATATGCCAGTACAAGCGCGGCAAGCTTCAACGCGACGGAACCGTGTGGACGTACCGTAATATATACAACTGTAGCCCTTTTCTGATTTTTAAGCATTATTCATAATTTAAGGTTATCACTTTCAGGGTTATTCAAAATGGTTCATGGTCATGTTTTTATTTATGCCCAGTTTTTCTTCTTTCAGTCTTTTAATGATTATCCTTTATTTTGCACAGGTGTCCTCAATTTTTCATAGTTATGCCTGATTTATCATGATTAAATAAAGTTTTTCCAGGGTGTTCTCCGACATATCAGAAATCCAACGTGTCGGGGTTATTCATGAGTTTTATGGCTTTCCAAGGTTATTTTTTAGGATGATGCATTGACCCAGAGAAAAAGAGGAAGATGTTCCCTTAAAGGTGACTTGTGTCAATGAGTGCAACACACTCACACACACACACACACACACACACACACACACACACACACACGCCATACCTACCCACGTCGTGTATGAAGCGTTCGATCTTGGACTGCATGCCCCAGTATCTGAACTCGACTTTGCAGAGTTTGTAGGCACACATGACGGGACATTCACCGAGTTTCTGGTTGATCTCCTCGATCCAGTCGTCTGACAGCGGACCCCGTTTGGTTTTCACCGACTGATACAGCTTAGGGTCTTCTTCCACCAGGTATTCATGTGGGGGGATGTAGTCCTTTACGATGTCTATGGGGTCTGCAAGGGGGACAAAGTTATTATTAATCACACAAATCAAATGACACATTTCACGACGCCCTGAGTGAAAATCTGTCTACGCAGTGTGTGTGTGTGTGTGTGTGTGTGTGAGAATGTTTTATGTAATAACTCCCTGCAGGGCATTTGTCTGCACATTTTCCTGCACCACGGTGAATTTTAGTATTCAGGGGCTCAACACGAGTTGCTACACTCCCTCACTCTTATCCCTCCACATCACACTGTCTGCATTTTCCCTGAACATAACACTGTGTAGATCTGATCCTGCATTCACTTAAATAGGACTCCACTCTGGGAGTTTTCATGGCAGAGGGTGTGTTCTTGTGTGCAGAATGAAATACTCACCGACAGTCCTCTGTCTCTTTTCAGCAGAAGACATATTGAAGACATCCACTTGATTTCCAGTGTCTGGTTTGTAATACGTCTCAATGTCTATAGAGAACTTCTCTACAAAGGGACAGGTGTACCTGAGAGACAAGAGAGAGAATAGTTGTTTAAAAGTGTAGACATGTCTTATAAACCCATTTTTAAAATGTATGTTTATTTTATCATTAATATTAATATTTTATTTATTTATTCGTATATTTGTGTCACTTTTTTAAACTTTGGATTTGTTCTCATTGTTGCATGTTTGTTGCCCACATAATGTTTTTATGCACACCTATTGATAATGTAAAGAGCCAACGCGCGTGTGTGTGTGTGTGTGTGTGTGTGTGTGTGTGTGTGTGTGTGTGTGTGTGTGTGTGTGTGTGTGTGTGTGTGTGTGTGTGTGTGTGTGTGTGTGTGTGTGTGTGTGTGTGTGTGTCTGTTAGTTATGTATGCTAGTTAACAAGCAGCCTTATGCCCATATATTCCGCAACTCTAGACATTATTTCAGCACTTCTCCGTCAGCCTCGTACTCTGACTGTCTGAAACGGTCTTTGCTGTAAATGCTACAAAGCTTCTGGCGCATTGTGATAAAAAAAAAAAAAAGGATATCAGATGTGGACCCAGTGTCCTTTATCCTGGGCCTCCTGGGCAGATTTATAACACAAAAAACGTGAGGAGATGTTCCTTTATTCTTACTTATGCTGCAAGGAAGAACATGTTGCTGAAGTGGATTCATGAAAACTGTTAAAGCCTGGCAGAGTGAGCTGTTGGATTTATTGCACTAGAATATCTTTCATGTATATTTTATTATAAATAAGGGGCTTTTATCTTTATTATTTTTGCACATTAGCAATGTATTATTATACCACTTATTTTGTGTGTTGTCTTTAGTACCTTTTTTTTATCTCCATGGATTCCATAATGAATTCATGGTGTGCTTTTTGTTTGTAAAAATCGGATGAATATATTGTCAAAAAACTCAACATAACACATTTCCATGTGTTTACGCTTATATTTATTGATTTACTCTTTTATTCGATTGTAATTCTTTAATTGGCAAAAATGTAATTTTGTCATGTCATTTACTTGTATTTAATTTGGATTATTAAAATGATTGATAATTATTCATTATAAGAAACCAAAGTAAATACAATAATAATAACAATATCAATAAAGTTGTTATTATTGTATTTAATTTAGTTAATTATAGTTATTGATGGACGGAAAGTGATATTTAGATTTCACTTCTCACCAAAAATACTAATAAAATGTTATTGGAAAACATGTATTGGGATTTGTGTCCCCGAAGCCCCTTCCTCTATCACTGTGACAATGTTCTCTATTATTATTGTACATAGTCACCTGGAGGATATAACTGATCATTATTCAGCTCAAATTGTTCTTCGTCAGCAATAGCAAGTTTACTGGTGCAAATGTATTTGTAGCCTTTATTTATCCAGGTAAAAATCCCATTGAGATCAACGATCTCTTTTACAAGGAAGACCTGCCGTATGAATCAAGAAGTAATTAAATGGAAAATCATTAACGTTTTAGTACTTAAGGGTTCAGTCATTGTGCTTTAAATAATACAAGCTGTCCTTAAATTCCCTTTATGTGATGAATGCTTCAGTGTTAACAAATGTTTTAGCACAGGAGGATTTTAGAGTCAGAGCACTTTTGTAATATCTTCATGTCCAAATTAAGCATGAATCATTTGTAATGTGACGAGTCATTTTCAGAGGTACTTTTACAAACAACTGCATTCAAACTATTTCTGAAGTTAAAGTATCAGAAGTATTAGCATTAAAATAGACTTAAAGTATATAAAAAGTACTTATTACTTAAGGGCCTATAAAAGAATCTGTTATGACAGTATTGATAGTGTGTGATCACCTACATGTTGCATTAGTAAAGGTAGGTTGTATTTTAATCACATAATATACTTCTTGGAAACCTAAAAATATATAAAACATTAATAGTACATTATATTTCTTATTAATAATCTCAATCTGGGTAAGCATTATCCGTTAATTATATTATATAAATAGATTTGTTTACCTTTATTTCTTCCAATTTATTGATTTGTATTTAATTGCATCAGTTTCAACTGGTTTTATTTATGCTGTTCAAAACAAAGAGTATGATTACTGTTATAATGTATATATTCTGTTGTATGTTGTTTGCCCTGTCACAATATTATTTCTTAAAATGCAAACAAAAACAGCTGAATATAATCCAGCAAAAAGTACAATATTGGCTTTCAAAATGTAGTAGAAGTATAAAGTAGCATAGAATACAAGAAATCAGTTAACTTAGTAAGTAGTAAACATAGGTGCTGTACTTGAGTAAATGTACTGAGCTACTCTCCTCCTCTGCTGTGGTGTGTTTCTCACCGGGTGCGGGTGTATGGGTAGGCGTTCCAGGACTCCTCCTCCACTCGGAGCGCCGCCTGAGGCAGGATGGCACAGAACCAGGACGGGATGTGCTTCCCGATGTGGTACACTTTGTGAGTGTACTGCCCCGAGCCCCCGGGCCCGTCCTCGTAGGGCTTGTTCTCCAGGATCTCCACGCCGCTGCCCTCCCCACAGCTCTCCTCTCGGCTCTTCTTCTGCATGGGGACACAAAACAGGAAGTGGTGAGGAGGGTGGGGGGGGGGGGGGGGGGGGGGGGGTGTGTGTGGGAGCTGCTGAGATTCATCAACCATATAAAAGTATTAAACAGTATTGCATTTTATTACTTTATTTCATGTGCGGATGTTGGGGTTCAGAAGTCATATCATAGGTTCAACCGCCCTCCATGTTCAAATCTATTTAGCTAACTCTGGAGTTATATATAATACCCTTAACTGTGGTTCCTCCATTTTCCCAGGATAAGAATCTCATTTTGTTTTTTTGGGGATCACAAACAGGATCAGCTTCTTGTCAACACAACATTTTATCGAGATAATAATTAATTCAAGATCACAAGAGAAAAAAGTTGAATAATAATAATTGAATAATTAAAATAAATCTTATTTGTTATTGTCTTTTTTGTGTTTTTCAATAGTGGAAGTGGAAGAAATCAAATAGAAATACATTGCATTGTTAACATTATTTAACTTATTTACCTTATAATGAATGCTGTAAACAAGAAGGACCTCAAATCAGCCACTGTGTTTATTGAGTGGGACTTCTAAAGTTTTATTTTTTGTCTATGTGCAAAGATGAACTCTTTTGTTCCTTTTTTATATAATTCTGTACTGGAAAATATGAACTAGAAATCAAATCAAAGTCAGCTCAGTGACAGCAGCTGGGCTCAGCGAGGCTTTGACTTCAACAAGTATCATTCAGTGAGAGACTCTGAAACAGCAACGGTGCGCCAATGTTAGCCTAGCATCCAGACTTGCTCTCTACACACATGCTGCCTCCCTCCCTTTATTCCTAAATGAAGCCCCTGAGACCCTCACACAGCACTCCTGTCTCTCACTGAGGGTTTCTGTCCGACTGTGACCCCCCCCCCCCGCCCCAAAGGGATGATGCAGCAGGAAGTGAGTGATGAGCCGGAGAGAAAAAAGCTGCCACATGGAAAACAAGAAACTGCTTTACATTTGAATATTTTCAGCCACACCCTTTTCCTTTCCTCAGCTCCACTCTGCACCCGGACAAAATGCAAACAGGTATTCAAAAAAATGTAACTTAAAAAGAATAGAAACAATAAAAGAGGCAATACAATCCAACAAACTTTAGAGAAAGGGAATATATCATAAAGAGTTAAAAATATGTTTTAAAAATGAGAGAGAGAGAGAGAGAGCGAGAGCGAGAGCGAGAGAGAGAGAGAGAGAGAGAGAGAGAGAGAGCGAGAGAGAGAGAGAGAGAGCATTTACGTGTATAGTGTAATTAAAAAATAAAAGAAATTATCTATTAGAACAATAAGTTGCTTTTCTTATATTATAAAAATGCTGTAAATTCACTTTTGCCTATTTGTTTTGGAAAGCAAATGGAAAAAGAAGGATAGTTTGTATTTGATCTCTTTTGGTCACGCCCTCTTAATTCCTCTACATCTCTCTTATTCTTCTCTCCTGTCCTCCTGTGCTAAATGATCAAATGAATGAAGTGGAGGAGGGGACCTCAGAGGTCTGGTTTCTCTCTCTCTCTCTCCGCAGCCTGTGACCCTCTCTCAGGCAGCAGATGGTGGGACACAGATCCTGGAGCTCTGAGCACTTTTAAGCTGTTTCTTCACAGCAGGAGTCGTGGATTACTGCATCAGTTTACATCTTCTTAAGAAGCTCTCCGTTTATACTGGAACCATCTTCACTGGAGAGAGGAGTGTTAACAGGCTGGTGAAACATGTGACACCCCTCCAGATCTGACAGAGCAGCCCACATATCTAATATATATTATATATCAATATTAAGTTTAGAGAGGTTATCAACGTAACAAATACTTCTGCATACAAACAGTTAAATAAAAGATTACTTTATTGAAGATTACAATTAAATATATTAAAAAGGATTAAAGAATATGTTAATTAAATGTAATATAAACAATAAAATAGGCAATTTAATACAAGAAAGTATAGAACTTGTAGTACAAGTACAAATTAAAAACTAAATTGTATATACAAGGAATATACTGTTTACAGTTATATACAGAACATATTTTAGATTTGTAAATCATAGTAAAAATATAAGAAATGATTAGTTTCAGTTAAATAAATTGGGCAAAATGTTATGCTTTTCATATATTATAAAACACTGAAAAAATTAATATTTTACAATGGGAATACTACTTTAATTTAGTTTTTGGACAATTCATAGCCAATTCCCTGACATTTCTTTGATAAATGAATACATCAAAAAAGCAGGTTTAGACCCAAGAATAAAGTATGTTGACACACTCGCTGCATTTTTAGTTATTTTATTAAGTCTCACTTTCTCTTTGATCTGCTGCTGCAATCTCATGGGGTCACACATAGAAATGAACTCAATAAGTTACCGATAAATAGCTTCATCCCATCTTGTGTTCCCATTCTTGGACTTACACGAGCTAAGAACAATACCATTAAACTATTCTTTATACCCTCTGCGATCTCTCTAGGAGGAAGAGGGAGTTATTTTCATAATGACTCAATTGATTGTTTCTAAAATATCTTGAGTTGACTGAGTATTTATACTTTTGCCCTGTGTCTAATGTAAGCTAACTGTGTGCATCCCACTCAGCCCGACTAATTGCCCCTGTGAGGACAAATACAATTATTGATTGATTGATTTTATCCATGCATATTTACAGATTCTGTGCGTGAACATTAGTTTTCCTTTGTACCTTTTATATACATTGTTTTGTATATCATTGTAAGTATGTGTGCATGAATGTGTTGCCCAGATTATTACTATTGTAAAAGAGATGTAAACTTAATTTGTACTTCATAAAACCGTAAAAAAATCTGTGTTTACTATATGTTCCACACAACCATGAAAAAACTCACTTTTGATACAAACTGTTGCTCAAATTCTAAAAATAAAAGGGACCTAATGCAATGTATTTGAAATAAAGTAATCTTAATGTCAGTGCTGAGTCAGGTGACAGTACAGTAGCTCTGTATTCTGGTGTCACACTGATGATTGAAAAGCTATTTTATTCCTTCCGTTGTAATACGCTTTGGTTCGAGGGACGGCTCTACGTGAATACAAATCCTCCCGATCATTATTAACAGCAGAGTGGGGTGCTGGGGGTCAACAATGAGAGCTCAGATTGAACACAGAGCTCCCTCTCCTGAAGACTTTAGGGAGGTGATATCAGTAATGAAGGTCAGAGGAGGCAAACAGCTGGAAAATTGCTGTAATCTAGCAGGTAATGTAATTTATGTGAGGAGCTAAGGGTCTTAAATTACCCTCCTCATGTCTGCTGCAGTACAGGAGAGCACATAGTATCTGTATTAATGACACACACCTCGCTGCAACACAGCTGACTATACAGGGTTTCCCAGGGGTTTTAAGAAGGCTTATTGTCTTTAAGAACAACAGCAGATGCAACGGGTGCTGTGTAGAAAATGAAGGTTATTATCTTGCACAACATCAGTCTAAGACAACCAAGACAGGATCTAAAGATGCAGTCAGCAGTTTGAACATATCCACTTCTTGGCAATATAACCTTCAATTCCCTCTGCGCGGCTTCACTAAAAACAAAACTGTCAACAATAGTGGAAGCGCTTCTTAAACTAAAGATGCTGCGTCTGCTGCTGAGGTGTTTGTTTTCTGGTATTTGGCTGTCATCAGAATCCGTCAAACACACACACGTAATTGATGAGGCATGACAGGAGCCAACAAGCACAAGAGTGCACAGCAGCAGCTCTGCTAGCCAAACTCTTAACATAGGGATCCCCAATTCATTGTTTTATGTCATCACAGTGGGGGCTTGTGCAATCACACTCCACAAAAGACTGATCTATTACACTCTGGGAGGTTTTTTGTTAGTTGAAAGAGAGTATGGGGGTGTGTGTGTCTACAGAAGGTCCAGTTGTGATAGACACGGTTCGCCACTGGAATGGCATGATATCCAAAACATGTTTTTTGAGGAATAGCTGGAATATGAAATGATAAAAAAAATGTAATTACAAAGATACTTCAAGAAAACCACCTCACCGGGTCCAAAAAGACCCACTTATGCATCTAAGGGTTAAAAATCAAAGAATAAGCTGCAGAAAGTTGGATCAATGTGCGAAGAGTAAAACATTGATGACGTAAGTTCCACACAAATTCTTTACAAGTCTCTAACAACTTTTCTTAAGTATGTTAAACCGGTCTCATATACAGTAGCTACAATTCTCCTATTCTCCTGTCTCAGATTATAAGAGGAACTGCAGCTGTTTTTGCATATATATATATATATATATATATTAATGTGTGAGAAAAGACTACACAAACTAAAACGTGGTGTCACACTTCACAGGTCTGTGTTTTGCAGAATAATCTTTGCATAAACTATTCCTGCAAAGAACTATGTCATTTAAGTCGAAGTATTTGTAAAAAGGGATTATTCAATAAGAATTAAAAAATACAAATTCATTGTTTTTTGTATTTTAAAGAGTCTTTAAGTTAATGCACAGCTTTTCAGATAAAAAAGCAAACATGTAAAATGTGTCAGAAGCCAAATGTATAATACATAATAACAATACAATAAGCTATCACTAACAATTTGAATGGAGCTGTTCCTTATAACTCCTTATAATATGTTTCCTCTCATTTCTGTTAATTAGTACCATGAAACAACTTTCCACTAAAACCATTTTTTGGAGAATTACAGAACCAAAAGGTTCCTAAATCTTAAAATCCTTGAAGAAAATAAAGAACATGAGTGCCAAAAACCCACATGAGGAAAGATGAGTCAGAAAAGCGTGACGAGGCATTTACCCAGAAACTGTTCAAGATAAAGAAATATGAAAAAACTAAAGTGTGCTGGAACAAAATAACTGACAGGAAAGGAAAAAAGAGAAGGAGAAGTGAAAGAACACAGATCATGCACAATGTGAGAAGTGCAACCAGCTCTCAGCAGAATGAGAAAGGGTCTCTGCTGAGGGTCTGGGTCTGTTGGCCTGAGCTGCCCTGAATCATTTATGAGACCCCGCAAGGTTAGCATAGAGCAGGAATACACAGCCCCCCCCCTCAGGCGTCTGTACGTGCAGAGCCACTGGAGCTCCAGCAGGACCGCATGCATCCAACACTATCACTGCTGCTCAGACAGTTCAGACACATACCCCCCCCCTCCACATCAGCCGCACGGCCATTTTTCAAATGATGTGCTTGTTTTCTAGTTCATGCATCAAACTGTCAGTTCAGTTGAAGTTAAACAACAAATGCAATGATAACTGTGACAGGTGACAGAGAGGGAAGTATTCCACTTCACAGACGATGTGTGACTTTGTTGATTTAAGACGTTAGGATTTACCAAAGTCACAAATTAAACTAAGGACTTTAGTTGTGCCCACTAGTAGTCCCAGTACATGAGTTTAGTTCATTTTTAGACAGCAAAATAACTGATCAGGGCAGCGTTAGACCAGCAGCTCCCGTGTTCTCCAAGGTATGTTTACTGTTTTTATCATAGGAGTTTCTCATGCTTTCAAGAGAGCATAGATAACTCTTCAGTTTCCAAACAAAAAGCAATGTATCAGGGCTCGGCATTAATGCTCGCCCGAGGCAAATGATTTGTGTTCGGACAGAAGGAATGCCTTGCTCAATTGGTCGATCATGCAAGTGAAAAATAAGCGTGATCTTTATTAATTTCTCCGTGTTGTAACATTGGATATGCTAACTTAATGTCATCCCTCCAAAGGACAAGAGCAACTCAGCGTGTAAAGCCGACATATTGTAACATCTAACTTCATGAATTAAGGGTTTATTTCGAGCAGACTAACGTTAGTGATTGCTGGAACAGTAGAAAGACTAACCAAGGTGGCTTTCATGAGTTGTATTGAGTTTTTAACATGTTTGATAAAGTGGGTTTTACGATGATCAACGAGGCGAATTTACTGTTTCTGTCCATGGAGTCAAAATGATATATTAATTGAATGTTTTCATCTTTAATACCATAACTTTCCAAATATATGTTGATTTGTATTTTTTTGTTTGTCCTATATTTTCCATTTTCTCTTTCAGGCCACTCAAACATCTGAGCACCTCGCCTGACATTTTTTTAATCAAAAGGTCCAAATGGATTTGTTTGGTTCTATTTTCATTGCCGGCGTAATCCATATTTGCTGCTCTAGTGAGTATTTGGAGCAGCAGTTTGTGAGATTGAGTCAAAATAAACTACAGAGTGTGTGTTCATGGTGCGTCAGTGTGTGGCTCATTGATCTGTTTTCGATCTGTTGTTTGGTTTATTTTGGATCACACATGTCAACGTTTGCAAACTACAGATGTATTTAAAGTCAAATAATCTCATTTAACACAAGGGTGTTTACATTGGGTACATGAGTGATGCATACATCTTGTAAATAGTGTATCCAGTAATATGGAGCCAGACATAATGTCGTCATGGTAACGCTGACTGCGCCATCACGTCTCCTCCCTCGCTCTCTTTCCGCCCAGATCACAAACAAATGATGGCAGCGGCTGCCATGCTGCAGCTGATGTCACCAGTTACCACAGCAACCGGCACTTAGCTATGACGCTGACAAGGAGCAGGAGGGGTCCACCAGTGTGTGTGTGTGCGTGTGCGTGTGCGTGTGTGTGTGCGTGTGCGTGTGTGTGTGCGTGTGTGTGTGTGTGTGTGTGTGCATCATCAAAGCTAATATTCAGGAGGTTTGTTTAAGATTTCTTTTCGGAAGGTTCGCTCTTCTTTGCTCCTTCTGATGTTTTTTCCAGTTTTCTTTTCATTAAAGAGTTTTATAGAGGTATATCTTGTACGGATTATAAATCTGCATTATGGATACAAATAATATACTATTGAAAAATATGATCACTTTTACACCGTCAAATTATATAATGTCATTATCTCCTCAAACATGGAAGTCGTTCAGATTGTCCGTCAGCAGGATTACAGGAAAACTACTTGCCCCAGTTTAATGAAATTAGGTGGAAGGGCGTGCATGGGCCAGTGAAGAAGCCATTAAATGTAATCAGAGCGGATCTGAATCATGGCCGAAGACACAAATCACCTTATACTTTAGTAACATTGTGAGGTACAGCAGGGCCTTGCTGCATGTCTGCGCTCTCACATTGCCCTCAATATACCGATTCCAGACTCATCTAACATCCAAACGAAGTGTAAATAAACAAAATCATTTATGATTTGAAGGTATTTTACCACCTTCATGTCTTTTCACATTTTAGTCCACAAATGAAAATCGCACTTAAAACATATGAGTCTTTGGATATATTCAGCCTGTCTTTTCTCTTTTAGGGTGTTATGCAGGTCTTTTTTGTTTCTTTTCTTATAAATGTTTTGTTGGTTCCATGAGCATTGTGGGTTATCTTACTTACTGCGTAGTCCTAGATTTTTCTTTTAAAATTAAGCCAAACATCAAATTAATAATTTCCACTAACAACAAACTGGATTATCATAACGTTTCAATCTTCAGTTTATATAATAATATGCACATAATAACACACTTAATTCTATTATATACACTCTTTCAATTGTCAGCAGTTTTATGAAAAACACCCTAAACCTAAAGGCTTTCCCTTGATGATTGCCTAATAAACATATTTGACTAAGTGTTACCAGCATTTATTTGCAAAATAAAATCACATCTTGTTAATTTTTTAGTACATTTTCTATGTGAGTATATGTGTGTGTATATGCACAAAACTATTAAATGAATCAGGCATATGGAGCACCATCTGTGACCCTGTGACCACGCTGCTCACCGCTCTAGTTCTGGTACAGCACCACACTTCAAACTCCTGACCTCCAGAGAAAATACTCCAGTTCTCCAGCCTTCTTGTACTTCACTAACAACACCTCATTAAAGCCTTTCATTTAAGCTAATAGAAAGACATTTTCTTCCATGTGATTTACATGGAAAACTGCTCACCTGGATCATGTAGAGCTGCGCGATGCGGTACTCCTCCACGCTCATCGGCATGGGGATGCGATACTCCTTAATCAGCATGGTTGAGCTTGAATTTGGCCAACTCCTGGTGTGTGTGAGAGTGTGTGTGTCCAGAGAAGTGAAGGCTAGACGCTCCTCTCTTTCGGCTTCGCTACCCGAGCAGCATGTTCAAACAGCGAGGACGGGAGTCATCGTTATTGACACCTGAGAGACAAGAAGCAAAGACAGACTTTCAGTGGGATAAGAGGAGGTTTAACAATATGTAGGTTTTAGCTCCCAGCATGACTTACAAACCAGAGTTAGCATGCTTGTCTCAAGGATTAAACCCCCGAACACAAGCCAACCGCTCCTCTGTGAGTCCTCCAGCCTTCCTCCAGATCTATTACAAGGTAATCCACTGACCTAGCAACATCTCTGAAATCCCCCTGCAACCTAAATCCCAACTCCGTGTAAACACAGTGAAGACTCAGCCAAGATGTGGTCAATGAAGCATTTTAATCAAGGTATTCGTACTTTAATTTCCGGTTTCTTTCTACTCCCACTCCACTACATTTTACAGTTGTAAATGGTGTCATTACTGCTTGTTGTTTTTGACCATTTGGAGGCAGCAGAAACGCAACAATAACACATCATGAACTTTCAAATGTATATGGCGAAATTGTTGTGCACATTAGTGATGTGTCGGTCGCGAACGTGAAGTGAACGACGGGAGCCGGCTCGCGCCCGCGAACGAGACGTTTCTTTTTTTGTTTTGTTTTTTTTGTTAAGTAATACAAGACAGAATGATATGATGAACTCCGCGCTATGGTGCTCCGTGCATGCATGTAATATCCAAGGATTAGAGACGGTTGGATGCTGCTGTTTTGCACATTGCAATATATTTATTTGTATTATGTTGTTTATGATTAGACATGGTTGGATGCTGCTGTTTTGAGCATTGCAATATATTTATTTTCACTATGTTATTTATGTATGATTATCTTTAGGCTCAGCAAAGATTTGATGTCAGCTGTTTCTGTCTTTTTTTCTTTATTTAATACTGAAATAGAGCCCTGCTGTTTTGTCAGGGCTTTTTCTTTAAATACAATTTTAAAATGTCGATACAGTAGCTGTCCTTTTTTTTTAAATGTCTATGCTTAAGTTTTTATAGGTGTTGCTATCTGCTTTGTGTAGCGTGGTTCTACAAGCAAGTCAGTGCATTCATGGGGTGGTATCAGAGAGGTACAAGGGTCTGTAAATGCAATGAAAACAAATCATTTATAGATTAAAAATGTAATTTTTACTTTTGAATACTTCAGTAGGCAACAAAGGATGTATTGAATAATTTAAGTGATATATGTTTACACATATAAATCATTAGTCAAAACAGGGCTACATTTGATTGAATTATAAAAGCTATATTTGGTCAAAAAGAGCCGGCTCTTCTTGGTGAGCCGAGCCAAATGATCCGGCTCACTAAAAAGAGCTGGAATTCCCATCACTAGTGCACATTAAGCAGTTACAGAGCAACATGACGACTCATTTGGAGGTTTGTTTCCAATATTCACTCTTAATATAGCTCTGTTTTTTTATCTTTAACTCCTTATAGAAATATCTTTATCACAAAAATGCTCAACTACGTTCACCAGATACTCTGTAACTTTGTCTTTCTGCTGTTCTGTTAAGCTGGTAGTGATATTTTTTAAGGTGTTTTCTCTAAAATGATGCAATAAGAGCAGTGAGAGTGAGCCAGAAGTTGTAGGATGACAGATAAACAAAGATCTGAAACTCACTTTAAAGCTCCGTAAAGCTGCAGATACAGGTGATAATCCTCTGTGGGTTTGTAGGTTCCTCACTATGAGACACAACTTTCACAGAAATATTAAAGCCACTTCAGATTTTTCTTCTAAACAAGGTGAGAAAAAAAAATACTGTAGCTTTTAACATAATGCAACAGCAAGCAGACAGGGATGAATTCAGTCACATGACGATGGCTACTTAATCTCAGACAGATTAAGGACGGTAACTCTGATGCTGTTGACATGAGAGAGGAGGTGGAGCTGACATGTCAAATGAAAAGCGCGTGCGTGTGTACGTGCGCGCGCGTGCGTGTGTGTGTGTGGGGGGGGGGGGCAGTGTGTAGGTTGTGTCCCACCGTCTGTCCATCTGTGCATCATCAGGTTATGCATGTTTGGTCAGGCTGCTCAGATGAACTGCAGAGGTCAGGTAGTACAGTATGACAGTGAAAGTAGCCTCTTTCATGATTTGGGAAAAGGTTAGGAGCCATTCTATATTGTTTAACTGCATGAATATTAGTGTTTCAACATGTTAAATATCTCAAAAGTATATTTACCTTTGCCAAGAATGGTATTCTTATTTGCTTGATTTGTTTGTTTAATGGTTTGTTTGCACTATTACAGAAAGAACTACCTCTAATTTGTTTTAATCTTGGTGTGAGGGTGTAACATGGGCCAAGTTTAAACCTAATACATTTCCAAGAGGATACAAATGACATGGTGAAAACACCACTCACTTATGTTTCACTTTGGTTAACAATTTTAAAATAAGACATTAGACATATCTGAAAAAATGTTTTCCAGCAGTATGGGAACATTTGTGGAGAAAAAAGCTAACTAGGCGCGTTCACACCGGAGTACTTTTCCCCGTACTTTTCCCGTTTAGTTCCGTTAGTACCCCTTCACACCAAAAAGAGTACTTAGTGCCAGGAACTTTTACCCCCATTTTTAGTGCCTGCTAGAGAGGTGGTACCAAAAAAGTACCAATTTCTATTGGCTGGGCGAATTGCAAACCACGCCCCGTAAAACTCGGGAAAGTTTTGTGAAGCCGCCATTGTATTTGTGGCATTAGCATTATTAGCATTAGCATTAGCCCCGCGCACCAACGGAGAGAGAATAACTTATGGCAACACAAAAAAAAACATGGGAGCGGTGGAGTGATGAGGAGGTGTCGGCGTTCTGGTGATTTACTCGGAAGGCTTCAGTAGAAGCTGCTGGGAGTCCCAGCAGCTTCTTCTGAAGCCAGTCCCCAACTCCGGGGACTTCCGGCCGGGGACCTCGGGTGGCAGTATACGCCGTGAAGTGGTTTGCGGCCTGCCAGTAAACCCAAAGCAGAAGAACACGAAGTGACGTCAGCGGCTCATTTGTGTAATCTTCCCTCAGGGAACTTATTCCGGTGTGAACGCGATTGGTACTTAGTGCCCTGGGGTACTAAGTGCCCTGGGGTACTAAGTGCCCTGGGGTACTAAGTGCCGACACTAAGTACGGCAAAGTACTTGGTGTGAAAGCGGCTTGTGTTTTTAAAATGCTCTGACTAATAAAATCAAAGAGATTGTCTTTGTTCATAAACACACTGAAGTCAGAAGAACAACGTCCTATTTCGGGTAATGGGAATATTCAAGGGGCCCCTGAATGCATCATTGGTTACCGAAGGTCTGCATTTTACGCGCTATAGTTCAAAATAGTGTAATTTAAAAGTTAATTTAGCCTTGGGTTCAAACCAGTGTCAAGAAACAAGATGTATAATCTTTGAGTCCTCCAAAACACAGTCAGGCTCTGTAATTCCCACAATGCAAAGTGTTTTACAAACAATATCTACAGGTCTGCAGCGCTCTGCCTCAACAATGAATGAAGATTCAAATCCCAGCAGCTCTCCAGAGACCGTCACGTACGACCTTATTTACTGTGCTGTGATACAATTACAGCAGGGAAATGAAGTGGCATTTCTCACTGAATCCCGTGAAGGAAAAGTCCTTGAGCAACAGAAGAAGTGCTATATATAGAGACACAGTAATCCCCATGAAGCAGAATGTGAGACAGATGAAAACTGACACATCGACAGATAGACCGAGCATCTTGGCTTTTTTTTTTTTTTTTTTCTTTTGCCTCCATCAGCTAAACGAGCTGTGAGTCAGCACATCAGATACAGCAGCCGGCAATCTCTGAAACATGAACATAAAGTGAAGACTAAACTCAAGAGGACGACGATGTTATGATGTCATGTCAGGAGGATGTAGAGCTCATTACTAGAAACAGCATATCTAAAAAATGTCTCTGCTTTAAATATATATACTATACTGACAATAGGAATGCCACGACATCAGATTTCAAACGATTTTCTTTGTAGAATTAATTCACAATAACAGTATTATTAGGATATCTATAGATTATAATATAAACTATAAATACAAAGTAATAAGATAATAATAAAAGTAATAATGTAATCAGTAATATCTTTAACTTTCTGTATGTGCATCGTTTTCTCTTTGTTGGAATTATAACAGTATTATTGGGATATCTATAGATAATCATTTAAATATATAACAATAAAATAATAATAATAATACAAATAAGAATAATAAGAAGAACAATTATAATACATACTGTGGGGGAAACTTCTGTGTAGCAATGCATTGGGAGTCACCGACTCAGGAAGGAGACACGAGGAGAGCTGGAGCTTTGATGTCAAACACTGATGGGTTTATTCAGAGTATCGGCCGGAGGATTCACATCACAAGTCAAAGAGTCAGAGGTTCTGACTTCACGGGAGAGTTGCCACGTCAATTCTGAAGAGCCTCTCTCTATGCTAGACCTTTTAACTGGTTCACAGAGAGTAATCAACATCTCTGAAGGAGTAGACTAAACAGCTGGGAACACTGAACCACCTGCGTCCGACACTTATGGCCTCAAAGATTTCACATCTTAGAGTCCACAAACACCGATAAAGAAGTGCCTCAGCGTTCTCACAACAATTACCATTCGTGCCAGACAAGTTGACCGGTCACAAACTGGTAACAACAACACATATGGCACCAAGGCCTTTCCTTAAAGGAGATAACAGACGTCAGAGTAGATCATAAAACGTCACAGAGCAAAAGGTTAGATATCTAGAAGAATTATTCCTTAACACATACATATAATACTAAATCAGTAAACTCTTTAACTTTCTTTATTTTGCCTTGTAGTGCAGGGAACTTCAGTGAGGGTCTCTCTTTCAATTAAATTCACGATGACACAATAGACAAAACATTATCAACCATCAGCTCTATTAACATTTACTGTAGGGTTCACATTTATGCTACTCAAGTTATTTCTATAAAGCTTGTATAAGACTTCTGTCTGCTCTGTCTAATGCAAAATGAATAAATAACCTGAGACAGAAACATAACAAATATTGATTATAGTAGCACAGTATAAGTGTTATCCAGT